GATCGCGCGAAATCGTTTCTTGCGTCCGCTTCTTCAATAAGATATTTTTTGTCTCGTCGTCAATCAGTATCACAATAAAAAAGGAAACTACATACTTTCATTTTCGCGGACAAATGCAATAAGCCATCAAGAGAAAAGTCTCAAAACTCGAGAAGCTATTTACTTTTAGGATCAAATTCTGATGAATAAATTCTAATCACGTTTCGAAAGGGCAAAACAGCTCTCTGCGGGATGGTTTATCTGCACAAAAAGAGATTAAAACGGCATGATCCTAAAATCAGAGGGAAATGAGGTTCCATTATGTAACGTCCACAAGGCATAGGAATAGGAAGTACCCGTAAAATCATTCGTTATTGCTTGTCATTATTTCTAATCCCGACTCATTCGTTACATTCATACTATATCTTTCTATACGGGATCAAATTGATATTTATTTCAAAATTGAATTACTATCTCCGCAGAATACAGGATTTTTTTAATATAATTACCATATTTGTATCTCCTAGGTACGCATATTTTGTATTTTAGAATTCATTCGTGAATGGGGTCCTTTCAAAAAATTGAAATGAGGTATAAAAGCTAAAATTTAAAAAAAATGAATTTCAAAACCCTGACCTGCCCATATATTGTAGCGAATATTCCAGAAATCTCGATAGACATCGAGGTGCCATGAAAGTAGTCATCGATAAAGAGGGAAGGCAGATGTGACGTAATCGAGAAATATGACGTGTTTGTTCGAGAACATTCTGAAGTGTCCGTGGCTCGATACCAGTCTAGAAATAATGTTGTTTGCTGTATAAGCAAATCGAATCGTGTTTCGAGTTTAGTTCGAACATAGGCGATAAATTGTAACTGCTGTTATAAATTAATCTATTTTAAGACTGTTGTTAATTAATTATAAATAATTAAACGACGTAATTAAATTTACGGTTATTTATTCCGTTTCAATGTTGCACATTTATATTGTAAAGTTAGTGTAACACATTAATTATGGGGATAATAATATGTAATTATAAGCAGGATAATAATATCTCATTCTCAACGGTATCGGTTTCAATATTATTCGGACAACCTCCCCAGCTAGGTACATAAGAAAAGTTTTACCTAATTGAATAACACGCACCGACAAAGCATTTAAAGTGAAACTAATGGGTAGTTCTGGAAATCAACAATTAATTTTGGCCGTCGGTACCTACCCTTTTAGGTAAGGGCATATATGCTGCCGATTTATCGTATCGATTGACGTAAGAGCATTTTAGGCCAATAATATTTTAATCAAATTACCGGGCACGTTTTTATCTAGCATAAAAAATCTATATAACGCCACCGTAGTAACTTACATAACGCGGAAGGTAAGTCGCCCTTTAGCAAAGCTTATAAAAAAGCTTTTAAATTTTTGATCTAATAAAAAGCTCTTCTAGCATCACCACAAGATGGTCGCCCTTATATTTATAACCTGTGAAGGTCTTTCTGACAGCCGTAAAATTCAATTTACGCAGGAAATTTGTCAAAGTCAGCATAACTCTCGTTTTTTTTGCCTTTCTAATTGCTGCCGTTTTTAACTTAATTTGTGCAAAAATCTGTTTGGCGCGCATCTGGCACGATGCGGAACGCCATTCGGGGATACTAATCGTAAATTGGCACTCAATTAAACGTTCCTTTTTCCAACTATTATTTCATATTCTGCTAATGAAATTGCGGACTGATTGACAATTTATCAATTATGTGGAGCCTTTCCGACATCCTACCCTAACATCAGCCATCGCAGTTCCTTAAACGGAAAAGATCTGCCATCTTTTATAGATAAGCAACATTAGGGCAAAAGGATTTACCGGGGTTGGGGTTGAGGTTGTAATTCATAAAATACTGTCGAATATTTACGTGCGCCAATGTTAGATACATTTTTGTGGAAGTATGATTGAATCCAAGATTGATGGTATATTCGTGAGTGCAAGCTGAGTCAAATAGAATAATCACATGGTACATTGTTTGATGTTCTGGTGGGAAAATAGAAATAGAAAGGAAGATGGAATTAAAGTGATTTTCACGAAAGCGATTTTCGTAAAAAGAACACCACCCTAAACTGCATCCCTCAAACTAGAAGCTTGGGGTTACTTACGAGTCTCTTTATCTTAATTTTCACCTTAATTGGAAGTAGATACTGTAATCGATACATACTCGTTAGCGAATATTGAAAGTGAAATTGCTTTGATTACCACGCCGCCGCCTTAAACCACTCATTGCGGATAAAAGGTATGGGCCGCTATTATTACAGAAAAGTCGTAGGCTACATGTATTTTTTAAACCACGCAAAGGTTTAACATTGTACTTATCTAATTAAATTTAACTACCAACTAATTGATCGCAAGCTCTTTAATTAGTCTTCTGTGAATTTAATTTGTATGTTGTTCGGTCCTTTATAATTTTCCGCACCTTTTGGCAATTCCTATTGTCCTTCGTCTCCTCGACTGAAGTGCATTAGGGATTTTTTCACATGATTACTATTTCCTCTATATGTATACAGGGTGGTGACTTGCGTAACGCATCATAGGGATTTCAATGTACAATTCATAAGATGCGATTATTAGCTCCCCAAATTATTTTAGAGCAAAAATGTATTAAGGTTTTTGTAGAAAAAAATTTTTTACGTCAATCAACCGTATTAGTATTCAATGTTTTTCATAATAAAGGCGGAAAATTGGAAACCCCCATCTTTTTCAATAATCTTGATGCCATGGAATTTTATCATACAAAAACTACGGCAACATCCGTCATGCCATGGAATGTCTGATAAAAAACAAATCAAATTCTATCAAAAAGTATTATATTTAGAACAGCGAATTCAACATAAAGAAAGACCAAATTACTAAAAACGTTTTCCTAATATAACAATTTACAATAAATAATGTTCGAATAAGTCACCATTAACTGCAAGACACTAACCAAGTCGGTCATAAAATTCATTTCGAACTGCTGCTAATTGATAACTGGATATCTTTTTGTTTTAGAAAATTCCATGGCATAGCAGATTATTGAAAAAGATGCGGGTTTTATTTTTCCTATTTTCCGTCTTTATTATGAAAATCATTAAAAACTAATACGGTTTATTGGCGAAAAAATTTTTTTCTACAAGAAACTTTAATACATTTTTGCTCTAAAATAAAATTGGGGGGGCCAATAATCGCACGTTATGAATTTTACATTGAAATCCCTATGATGCGTTACGCAAGTCACCACCCTGTATATATAATGATTTCCAGATGAAAGAAACAAATTGACTTAAAATTCTTGTTTTTGTGCCCTGGAATAGTCCTGGAACACGTCGACTGAAACTGTCAAGGAAGTAATTTTTATTTTAATGAATACTTTATTATTCAACGATACATGCTGGGTGCGGGTGCTGGGGATTTTAAAAATCTTAGCGAGTAGTCTTTTATTACATAAATCGGTTTATACCTGAACGTACGTTTGGCAAAATTAACGCGGTTTTTCGGACTATTTTCTGTGATTTTCGGTCAGGATTATCAAGGAAACCGTTTGAGATTTTTATAAACTGATTTCTGTGCATTGTTGTTGTTGTTGTTGATCTGCACTAAAAATTCTACGAAATCCATGAACTATTTTTTACCTTCACGTTATTGGCGTGGGTAAACCTATGCTAACTAATACCTATTTCTTCAAATTTGAACCTTTTATAAAATGGAGAGGTGAGGATAGTAGAGAGTGATATTTCATTCACCTACAGATCTATGCCTTACGTATTTATTTACACTCTTATTCAATTTAGAAAAATATTTCAAATTATAATTATATACACGGTGTCCATTTTTCGAGTGCCACTATGGGGATCTCGCTTACCTTAAGAGATAGAAAGTTGGTTAAATGGGGGCAAAGTTGCGAATTTCCTTGCTGAATAACCATCTGAAAAGAAATTTAAAATATCATCAATAGTTCTAAAAATATCACAAAAAACCGAAACTTTCCGATTTTCGTTTCTAATTTTTTCATGATAAACTAGTCGTGCTAGACATTTCTAATTAACACATTAACACTTTTCAATGGAGATTTCGAATGTGACATCTCGGTTTAAATAACTTTTAAGATGACAGAGAAATACGTGGCAATTTTGGTTTTTTTTATGGGTGCCATTTTTAATTTTGAGATTTTAAGATTACGTCTTTTTTTCTCTTTACGACGATATATCACACATGGTGGTTCAGTATCACATTTTTCCTAAAATACAATTTTTAATTTTTTGGGAAGAGTGCTTTGGAAAAACAAAACGTTCTTTTGTTAGTAAACAAAAGTTTGACAGTTTGATGCATATGGCCGGTTGCAGCGTTGGCATCAGGGAACTAGATGTGTTTTCGATTTAAATATGAACAGAATTGAACCTTCGTTTTGCAAGAAAATTATAATTCAAAATAGAACAAAATACATAAGAATAAATAATATTTTAGCAATAAAACTAGCACAAACGTAAATTACACTGCTTGAAATAGGTCAACATTTTGTTCACAACAAAAGAACGACTCCTTCAGTATAGTGCCGTATTTTATCATTTCCTGTAACGTAAGGAAATGCTTTTTAGTTGGGCACGTGTCGCTACCTTTACACTTTTCTAATATTTTTCACTTCACGCTAATGGTATTAAATGTGTGTACCTAAATAGCGAGTTAAAAATTCTCTTCACTTTTTTTTAAATTAATTGCCTTATTACGCTCTCCATTTAGATTTAATTGGTTCATATTTTCACCAAAGCGTACCTACCTAGGAAACTACACACATTTCGTTTGCCTGCGTAATTGCCCTTAAAAGCGTATGGTAGTAGCGAGAAATGGTTCCCCTTTTTCTCCTTTGACGTAGCAAACTTGTAAGAATACATATTTGTGAATACAAATTGAATTCGACGGTACTCGTATACAGGTAGCGAAATTGAGACGTTTTTGTTGACTCAATTTCTCCTGCGAATACGAAATTAATCTTGTCTTTATTTACAGAAAACGCGAGTCGGTGGTGCTTTCCAAATGGTACTTGGGATCAATACACCGATTACAGTCGATGCAAGGAGTTATATCTGGAAAATCACGTTCCCGGCGTCGAAATTACGACCACAATTTACTTCATTGGATATTCGATCAGCTTGATTGCACTAACCGTCGCCGTTTTCATTTTTTGGAAATTCAAGTAAGTGAGGGTTTTTATCTCGCATTTACAACGATTTTTATGGTTAAGATCTTTATTTTACAAAAACGATTACGTACAACAACTAAAACTAAAACACTGCGAATGGAAACCAGCTCTAGTCGGTCTGACTTTGCAAAATAAGTTGGAGGAGTTGAATCTCACTAATCGTAATAAAGTGATGAGACCACTTCTCCACTCATTTTTGAAAAGCTTTTATGTCACCGGAACGGGCCAACACTTTGGTGGGTCGGTCTAAAGGCATCCCATCACATGGAAGAGTTAGATCTGGCATTGTTCAAATAAAATGTCAAAGATCTAAGCTTCCACCTAATGATTCACCTCTTTTTCGGTGCACGAAATTGAAACAAAATCGGATTTGTACTAAATTTTAAAGTGGTTAAGATCGATTTTATAACCTACAGCCCATCCCGATCCGTTATCGGTATCAATAACCAATAAGATCGCTACGATTAAAGCCGCAAGTACTTAAGGTGCAAGTTACGTAACTTCGACACAGGTCGTCACGTTTCTTCGCGTTATTTTTTTAAAGCGTTGCTTGTTTTGTGCAAAATAATTATAGGCTTCCATAATCACGATTTTTGCCACCGTTTTTATTAAAACCGTTCAATTGCCCAATTTATCGTATTTGGTTACTGATAACGGTCCACATTTGTAATTTTCACTTTATCTACGTTTCAAACTTAACTGAAGAAAATCGGAACGGATCGAGGTTTGAAGGAGAGATTTAATTAGACGAAATTGTCCCACCCTCTTCTGTTAAGGGTTTAATAAGCATACCGGCCCTTTTCTCTGCTTATATCTTGCACCAAACAATCATTTTTTGTGCATAATTCTGAAACGGTCAGGTTTTATTTGTACACACTATAGTTCATTAAAACGGCCAAGAAATTACAGTATTCATCATTATCGCTTAGCTATCAGTGTGAGTGCTACTTTGTGAAAAACAGGATTTGCGATAAATTCAGTCATTTATTGATAACATCAAGAATGTTTCTCGGTAGAAATCGAGGAAAAAAAATTCAGAACACATTATACGTTGATAATATCTATATAAATAAACGTTCTTTTAGCAATAATTTGATAAATGTACCCCAATTTGGTACCTATATTCTACGTATCAAAATTGCGTATTATGTCTTATTCTAACGAAACTGTTGTAAGAAACGTTGAAAATAAGTAGATAAATAAACGTCTTTTTAATATTAATCTGACAAACGTATATAATACGTTTTTAATTTACCGTATACTGATATATTGGGTTGCTTACTTGCTCTACAAATAGGAATATAAATGACACGAATTGTATTTGTTAAAATTAAAATTACTACTGAAACTGGTACAAGGAATACGTACTTTATACCATCTTTATTCTTTCGTGTTATATACGACCCTTTTATGCATACATATATTTCTACAGACATTTTAAAACTGTTTATTTTGCATATTATTTACGTATGCAATTGCATATGAGTGTCAGGGTTATGGCTTCATCCAAAAACGTTGCGGTATATGGTAAGTTGACAATAATAGAAATTATATTTGCTGATATTCTTCTTTATTAGGACGTGGTAAATCAGTATTCTGGAATGGAACCTGAATCTACTGCGCAAAGTTGACCACAGCTACTTTCAACAGGTCCTAGTTTAAACTTGGCTTTTTTTATCCTATAGGGGGACGCTTCTTCGACGCCAATCGGCAAGAATAATTAAAACGCCTCCGTACGGATGCTCAGGACGTCTAGCGACACCACTTACCGGTGCGAAGGCAGCAGGCGCCAGGTTTACAAATAGGCATTGAATAAAATGGACCCTGATTGTTCGTGATGGGCTTTGTAATTATTATATAATTCAGACCGTTTGATTTGATTAAATATACAATCTACCAAACCCATATATTGCATTTATTATAAACGTTTATTACCAGTACATTTTCGACGAATTTAATACGAATAACGCGTAAGGATATTACTACATATTCCCTTTGAATATAAAATTTTATAATCAGATATTCCATTTGCGAAATTTAAACGTATTCTGTAATAAATCGTATATCAATAGAAATAATAAACGCATAATATTCTACAAGAATATAACAATATCCGCCGGACATATACAGGGTGGTGACTTGCGTAACGCATCATAGGGATTTCAATGTAAAATTCATAACATGCGATTATTGGCTCCCCAAATTATTCTAGAGCAAAAATGTATTAAGGTTTTTTGTAGAAACAAATTTTTACGTCAATAAACCGTATTAGTTTTCAATTTTTACATAATAAAGACGGAAAATTGGAAAAATAAAACCCGCATCTTTTTCAATAATCTGTGATGCCATGGAATTTTCTAAAACAAAAAGATATCCAGTTATCAATTAGCAGCAGTTCGAAATGGATTTTATGATCGACTTGGTTACTGTCTTGCAGTTAATGGTGACTTATTCGAACATTTATTGTAAATTGTTATATTAGGAAACCGTTTTTAGTAATTTGGTATTTATTTATGTTGAATTCGCTGTTCTAAATATAATACTTTTTGATAGAATTTCATTTGTTTTATAGCAGACATTCCATGGCATGACGGATATTGGCGTAGTTTTTGTATTATAAAATTCCATGGCATCACAGATTATTGAAGAAGATGGGGGTTTTATTTTTCCAATTTTCCGTCTTTATTATGCAAAAAAATGAAAACTAATACAGTTGATTGACGTAAAAAAATTTTTTCTACAAAAAACCTTAATACATGTTTGCTCTAGAATAATTTGGGGAGCCAATAATGGCATGTTATGAATTTTACATTGAAATCCCTATGATGCGTTACGCAAGTCACCACCCTGTATGTGTACTATATACTAGTATATGATTACGTTTTTTAAACGTAGGGTTTTAGTCTACTATAAACGCATTTTATACGGAACTGTGTTGCTTGGGTAGTTTTAAAGAAACTCTCTTTCGTACTCACACTATTTTATTGGGATGATCCAACTCTTAATTGGGATGAATAATTAATATTAACCTATAGTATTGGTATTTCCCAAATTTTTCGTGTAAACCCTTTCCTTTGCGTTTCTTTTCCTGTTTGGAGGGTCAACATTAAATAATGAATTCAAATTTAATTCTCAAATGTTTAGTTCATTAAATATGAGAATTAAATCGTATTTTCAGAGCTGTTTCTAGTGTTTCAAAATATTTGCATTGCTCAGCCATTAGTTAATTTAATTGTTAAATTTTCAAAAATTCATTGAAATCAAAAAAATTGTTGCGCAAAGTTTTTGGGGATATTTTCAAAGACTTAAGTTCAAATATTAATGGATGCAGAGGTAGTATAATTGAAGTGTGAGGGAGTACGGTATTTTACTTGATAAAACTGGCTGCTTCATTTGTTATTTTTCAGCCTCTAAGAAATGAAAAAAACCATGGTTTGATAACCTCAATGTAAAAAATCGTGATTGTGGAAATAATCGATTAGACGTGACGCGGAAGCGCACAGGATCTATTTCCACACACATGTCGTCTGAATTTTTCCAGAAGGGTATATTAATTTTGTGCCTTCGTGCATCACAAATGTTTAAACGAGGCCAAAACGGGGGATCTATTTACGGGCCCGCCGCTACAATCCATGCCTGGCCGCCTTCACCGTCAGCCAAATAGAGCACGCCTCGATAAGTTTAATTTGCTTAAATCTATAGTAACGTCGGTTGGTCCTTCGAGGCGGATGGAAATTCCTTTCATTAGCGAAAAGATTGAATTCCATGATTTGATCCATATTTAGAATTTACGTTATGACTTTCCAACATTGTTTAGTAAATCGAAGTGTATTGTCTTCTATTCAATTCATTGTAACTTGCGTCGGCGGTTGTTTTGAGGTTGCATATTATTGTATGCCATCGATTTTATACCTTATATAAACGGAAGCAGAATTTTACCTTTTCAATGCCGTAATAATAACAAAAACATTTTATTTTATTATATTGGAGCAAATATTCCAGAAATCCCGATAGACCTCGAGGCGCCCTGAAAGATTGGCCATAGGTGATAAAGAACGAAGGTGGATGTGATGTAATTGTTCGAGAACATTTTAGAATAGTCGGATGCGTTCAAGATCTTTCGAGAAAGAGGGCATGTTTGTTGGCAAATCAAATTGCGTTTCAGTCAGTTCCAACTTCGAAGTCGAAGTATTGAATAATTGGCGTTGTTATAAATTGTGTATTGTGATAAATGATATTTTATATGTTTATACATCAATTCATTTCAAGACTGCTATAAATTTATTGTTTATTAATTCTAAATTAATTAAGCACGTATATAATTAAATGACCCATGCCCATTATTTATCGAGTGGTAAAACTGCTTGGACGGCGTATATATCACCCCTAATCATTGGACTATTTGAAAAGATATGCGAACTACTTATACTTATACCCTTCTCTGATATCGTATGAATCGGGATTTTTATCACCTGTTATCGGTTCATTTTTATTACATTGATCTACAACAATCTTTACTAGTTGTCGATTGCAAATATTTTTGATTTTCTCATTTGAAGTCAGGTTGTATAAGAGTACTATATGCTTGTCAGTGGTTTAATTTTATATTTCCTTGATTAGGGGTGTATAAATCCCGTTTCGCGTTTTTCTCCACAAAATCGAAACTTGTGCAATTTAAACAATCATCCTAAAGTAGTTCCTTGCCGGAATTGATTCGATTGAGTATATAATTAGTTCTCTTTGTGCATTACGTTCAAGGTTCGCCAAGTTATTTCAATTAATTTTTACACCACACACAAATTTAGTTAGGTACGTGTGATATACAATGAAGGTCGTAGATAAAATCTGGTCGTGACTGGGAAAAATGTACAAGGCGTGTGACAAAACGTGCCAAGGTCGCCCGAATGTGTTTTGGATACCTGAAGTCTTGCACCTGACTATCGGGGTATATGTAGAAATGTTTGCCATTACGTGACAAGTAGGTTATCAGTCTTGAAAGTCAACAGTATGATCTAACGCAATTATCAATTGCAATATTGCTTACATAAAATCTTGTCGGTAAATATACGATAAGACTAAGCGTGTCTTTTTCGGGAATGAAAAATTTCCAGAATGGCAAAAAAAGATGCGGCCATAAGTATTTTCCAGTACCCACTCGGCGATTCGTTATCGAAGATGATTTATCTACGTAAATATGTCAAGTGTGTGGGCTTGGTTTGTCAGTTAAATAAAATAATTTGGATGATTTTGCGCAATTTTTTGAGTCAAGATCCACAAAATGAAAGTCATCACCCTGGTGGTTTCGGTCTAGTCTAAGTAGTCACTCAATATTTGGGGACGTTTATTCTGTTATTTATATGGCATTTTAAATATCTAAAAACGACTAGAGCGCTTTTATACAGGGTGGTGACTTGCGTAGCGCATCATTGGGATTTCAATGTAAAATTCATAACATGCGGTTACTGGCCCCCCAAATTATTTTAGAGTAAAAATGTTTTTAATTTTAGTTTTTAATTTTTTGCATAATAAAGACGGAAAATTGGAAAATAAAGCCCGCATCTTTTTCAATAATCATTTTATAATACAAAAACTGCGCCAATATCCGCCTTGCCATGGAATGCCTGCTATAAAACAAATCAAAATCTATCAAAAATTATTATATTTAGAACAGCGAATTCAACATAAAGAAAGACCAAATTACTAAAAACGGTTTCCTAATATAACAATTTACAATAAATGTTCGAATAAGTCATCATTAACTGCAAGACAGTAACACCATTTTTCTATATGCAAGTGGTTTAACATTTTATTTCCCATAATAATCTCATAATATTCAGTTGTTTTTATTTCAGAAAACAAATGAGTACCGAAAAACAATTGATTTTTTTTAAATGGCTGACATTCACTACAGTAATTGACAAGGTGAGAAACATCTTAGTAGCGAGGATGTTGCTTTGATTATTTTGTTCCAACATTTTTAACTATTTGCCGTGTGTTTGGGGAAATTGAGAAAGGGCGAAGTGCTAGCAATCGCGTTTATGCCAGGATGCAAAATTTGTATACATAGGGATGTTGTGAAATAGTTATCCTTATCACACTCTTGCCTTGCTTTTCAAAGAAAATTCGATTGCCGCTTAATATACACGAGGTGTATAGGTAACGTCGATCTGAGTTGTTTATTCTACGGGGAACTAATATGAATTTCTGAAAAGTTGTGCATGTTTACTAACACTACGTTATAGGATAGGTACTCTAGTTTATACGCATCTTTTAAATCTACGTAAAATTGGTAATAAATTTGATATGAAACTATAAACCTAAATCGAACGGTTATTGAAATATTAAAGTTTTTATGATAAACTAATCATAGTAGACATTTCTAATTAACACATTATTCGGACACTATTTAATGGAGATTTTAAATATGGCATTCTGTTTTTAATAACTTTCAAGATGACGGAGAAACACGTGGCAACTTTAGTTTTTCTTATGAGCGCCATATTGAATTTTGACATTTTGGGATTATGTCTTTTTTTCTCTTTACAACGATATATCACACATGGTGGTTCAGTAACACATTTTTCCTAAAAATACAATTTTTAATTTTTTTGAGAAGAGTGCTTTGGAAAAACAAAACGTTCTTTTGTTGTAAACAAAAGTTTGACAGTTTGATCCATCTGTCTGGTTGCAGCGTTGTCAGAGAAGTAGAAATTCGATTTTCATCTGAACAGAATTGAACCTTCGGTTTGTAAAAAATTATAATTCAAATTAGAACAAAATACATCACAACATGTGTTCAAATTGCCCACCCCCTAATTCTGAGCACAGTGTCACTATGGCTCTTGACACATCCCTTCTTCTAATCTTGTGCCTGAGAGTGCTCACAATTCTATGACGAAGTTCATCAAGGTCGGCTGGCAATGTTTTGTAAATTCAGTTGGGCTGCAACTTCTTTTGAGGAGACAAATGGATTGTTTTATTGCACCTAATTAACAATTATTAAATGATGAATAGATCAGTAAATTGCCTACTCATATTCATTGAGTCTATCACCATATTGCGGTCTACATCTTTTAAAAGAACCATATTCGCCCAAGTTTTTATACAGCAAAGAAAAATACCTCAAACTAGGTTATTGCCGCTCTGGATAACGCTGCAAGTATAAACCTAAATGACACTACATGAAATAAGTCAACCTCTTTAGTTCACAACAAAAGAACGTTTTGTTTTTCCAAAGCACTCTTCTCATAAAATTAAAAATTGTATTTTTAGGAAAAATGTGGTACTGAACCACTATGTGTGATATATCGTTGTAAAGAGAAAAAAAAACGTAATCTCAAAATGTGAAAATTCAAAATGGTGCACATAAGAAAAACTAAAGTTGCCACGTGTTTCTCCGTCATCTTGAAAGTTATAAAAAACAGGATGCCATATTTGAAATCTCCATTAAAAAGTGTCCGAATAATGTGTTAATTAGAAATTGGTACTACGATTAGTTTATCATAAAAAAATTAAAAACGAAAATCAGAAATTTTCGTTTTTTTGCGATATCTTCAAAACTATTAAAGATATTTCAAATTTCTCTTCAGATTCTTATTCAGCACGAAGATTGGCAACTTTTCCCCCATTTAACCAACTTTCTAGATAAATGAGATCCCCATAGTGGCACTCGAAAAATGGACACCGTGTATATGAGATTTTGTAAATTGAAAATTTTTTTGAGAAACTTCCTTTTTTCTGCTTACGAATGGCGATGGTACTGTTAGTTTATCATTATACACTGTGTTCAAGACAAGGATGTCTATCATGGGGATCTTGGACATATTTTTCATTCTGGAAATTGCCAATAGGCATCCTCGCCCGATTAGGCCATTATGTGGAAGTGCACCATCCTGTTGAAATCAAAAGTTTTCAAATTTTGTTTTTCTTGTGTAACGTACATTAATTGTACTCGTAACAAAAAAATGCTATTCAATACAGTATGTATTTTTTTCTGGGCCATAGAAAAAAATGATACTGCTGATGATGCTTGAAAGTTCGATCTGCCACCTCCCTCTAGGCTAGGTTGAGGGTCCAAATGCATCACGTGGGATTTACGCCTCCAATAGTCGAATAAACTTTGTAGCAAATATAGCAAACGAGCTCTTGGGTCACTGAACATTTAATCAGTTCTTCCTTGGGTGATGATAAACAAAATACTGAAACAGAATTGGAAAATTCAAAACTGTAAAGGAGTTATCTTGTTCACGAATGGACGGACGCACAGAATCATGAACTCGCTAGGAGCTCGTTAATAATTAGCGTTTTTGGTAACAATTTGATGTAAAAAAATTAATTCCCGCAATACTCAGGCGATTCCGACATTATAATACCCCCCCCCCCCTTGAATTAAGCTAGTTCCATCTGCGTAATTTTTATGTTGTGAAGGTGGAAATAAATTAATTAATCTATAAACCAAACAGTCAAACAGATATTTTGGCTGTATTCAGTAAGTCGAATCTTTAGTTAGATATGAGATAATAAGTGTCGGAAAGTCTCATTCCATTGTACTTTTAAATTCTGTTTCGAAAGTAAATTTGATCGAGGTGTTCAAATTAACAAAGTTTCAGGGCGATCAAATTTTGTAATCGAGAATGGAAAAATCATCATCCATATAACGAAGAACATAAGCTTGTAGATCAATTTCAAATTTACCCATAAAAAGGTTTGCTATAAACGGAGATGAGCAGAAGTAAGTATAAAAATAATCGCTCAACTTCTGTTTTCTCGCGAATCCCTTTGACTACACGCGGAATTAATTTACACACCCCCACACTTTCGAGGAGGCGATAAGATGAAACTTTATCCGATCCGATGCCTTAAACTACCTTGCAATGACAAAAATGTCAAAGGGCGCCTAAATTTATACGTAAAGTTTTAATATCAAGTTGAACTAATGTCCGCCCTTTCGTCTTTTCAGGGATCTGAAATGTTTACGCAACACGATCCACATGAATCTGATGTGCACCTACATCCTGGCGGACTTCATGTGGACTTTGACGTATACGCTGCAGGTAAGGGTTATTGATGAACTTTATTGAGGCGTAAAGCAATTTCCGCGATTTCTTAACTACGCAAAGCCACGTAAGCCAAATTGAAAGTTTTTTTTACTTAACAAAAAAAACACACCAATCAATCGAACGTTCGTATCGATCAGGTGACTGTTTACAAATCGTATTTATTTAGTGATAGGAACCTCATTTTTAATTGAACAAATACGCGATAAAGATTTGAAATGTGTACAGGTAGATGTTTGCACTCACGTTTTTGTCAATTTAACCTGGACTTAAATTACGTTACCTATTTCCTTAAAGTTCCCAGAATGAAAATTTGTATACGCAGCCGAGGGAAATTAAGAAAATATTTCGATTTCATTTCTTGAATGAATAAATACGAAACTGCTAATTTTGGAATATCTTAAAAAAAAATAATAATGAATCTATCGCGCTCGGTTTCGCTAACGCAATTAGTGAATCGCAAATTAATCTGCTTTGTGAAATAGAGCACTACAATGGGGGCTATTTATACTCTCTGTCCCAAATTCGATGCGTGCACCAAAAGCGTTTACTGTTTCCCACCTCTAAAATTTCTATAAGAAAAGCACCCTCGGACGGCATCTTTCATTGTTTTCGTGAATTTGCCACGTTTTAAATTCAAACAATGGCTTTGCTGATGGTCCAAACCGCACATAAAGTGCTAGGTTGTGTACCTACATGATATGGTTCAAAAGCACTTTAACAAATCACTATTGTAGAAGCGTTTCAATCAAATTTCAATCGAAGGAGGAAAAAGTAAGTGCGTATTATTTCCATTTTGGGTTGACAGTTTTCAAAAACCCATTAGACGACGTTTGAAAACGAATGGAAAAAGTAATCAGCCAGAATACACTTACAGTTCTCGCCGAACGATTCCCTATATCGAAAAATAGAGTCGAGGGCACTTTGATTCGAATCTCCTTTGTTATTAACAATCAATTTTATATTACGTCATAATTATGTTAGGTACCTACTTCAGTGTTTATGATAATTGACGTTGTTTTCAGGGTAATGAATTGATTTTACTCATATAATTAAATGAGTATATCGCTGCAACATTTGTGCGAAATAAATTGTGAACGTGTTATCGAAATCAGGGGCGGACTGGGTACTTACGGGCCAGGTGGAATTGCATATGTTACGGGCCATTAAAGTATTAGTGTAGTAATGAAGGTGGCCGGGGGGGGGGGGGGGGGGATCTCTGCGGTGCACCACAAAAACATTTTTTTGCTTCATTTTAGTAGAGCTCCGACAAAAAAATTGTCTCAGATCGACCCGGAAAATTTTTTTTTATAGAATGTGGCCTGTAGAATCCATAATTTCAAACAGTTCCAAGATTGGGCTTCTAGTTCAAAAGTTACAGCCCTTTGAATTTTCTTACGAAATTGGTTTCTAGTCCATAACTTTTGATTGAGAAGTCCGATCGAAAAAGTACGAATTGCTTTAGATTCTACGCACCAAAATTAATAAGAAAAAGTGTTTTCCCGAGAAATTTTGGTGCAGTCAATTTTTGGTAAAAAAGGAAGGTTATACACTGTCTTTTTTTGAGCCCCGAAAAAAAAATTGTCTCAGATCGACCCGGAAAAAAAATGTTCTTATAGAATGTGGCCTGTAGAATCCATAATTTCAAACAGTTCCAAGATTGGGCTACTAGTTCAAAAGTTACAGCCCTTTGAATTTTCTTTCGAAATTGGTTTCTAGTTCATAACTTTTGATTGAGAAGTCTAATCGAAAAAGTACGAATTGTTTTGGATTCTACGCACCAAAATTAATAAGAAAAAGTGTTTTCCCGAGAAATTTTGGTGCAGTCAATTTTTGGTAAAAAAGGAAGGTTATACACTGCCTTTTTTTGAGCCCCGAAAAAAAATTGTCTCAGATCGACCCGGAAAAAAAATTTTTTATAGAATGTGGCCTGTAGAATCCATAATTTCAAACAGTTCCAAGATTGGGCTACTAGTTCAAAAGTTACAGCCCTTTGAATTTTCTTACGAAATTGGTTTCTAGTCCATAACTTTTGATTGAGAAGTCCGATCGAAAAAGTACGAATTGTTTTAGATTATACGCACCAAAATTAATAAGAAAAAGTGTTTTCCCGAGAAATTTTGGTGCAGTCAATTTTTGGTAAAAAAGGAAGGTTATACACTGCCTTTTTTGAGCCCCGAAAAAAAAATTGTCTCAGATCGACCCGGAAAAAAAATTTTCTTATAGAATGTGGCCTGTAGAATCCATAATTTCAAACAGTTCCAAGATTGGGCTTCTAGTTCAAAAGTTACAGCCCTTTGAATTTTCTTTCGAAATTGGTTTCTAGTCAGGGGCGGGCCAGGTGGAATTGCATAGGTTACGGGCCATTAAAGTATTAGTGTAGTAATGAAGGTGGCGGGGGGGTAGCTCTGCGGTGCACCACAAAAACATTTTTTACTTCATTTTAAAGTACTCCTTTAAGTGACAGCAAATTAAATTCTTTCTTTCTATTCCCATAGCAACAAATAAGTGATATTTTCGTTTGTTTTTGTTTTCTATTTGAACCAATTAAGATAGCTCGATTAGATAAATTAAATAAAGATCAATCCCATAGAAGATTTTTTCAATTTCTCTTTTTGCGGTAGCTAAAGGAAGGTAGGATATATCATCTTTGATTGGAGGTACAAATCCATTATTTCGTCTTAAGTTCAAATAAGATCGTTTACATACAAATGACCTAAGGTAAACTGTCTTGTAAATTTGTCGGTACAGATTTATGGGTGCAAATTCCACTGGAATTTTACACATTATAAATGGGCCTGTGTCAAAAAACTGATTCAAGTAAATATTTGAATAAGTTTGTAATTTGTGTGTTTGCACAATTATTGCCAATGTGCACTTGAAGATATCATGGAACTATTATCTATCCAATTAGCAAACATGAGTTGCTTCCAACGGTAATTATGTAAATATTACCTTTATTGTATCAATTAGTTTGGGTACTCAAAATGAACCACCACCGGGGCCATGTCAATTTAACTCTAGAACTGAACATGAACACCCAGAAAAAAGATTACGCCTGTAGAAAAGAAGAGATGGTCCTCTACAAGATGCGAACTCCATTCCAAACATATTTCTTTTCCTACAATTATTTTTCGGAGTTCAAGACGCAACTCAGAATTTGAGTCCTTTCCTCCTTTTCTACACTTTTCCCTTATGCTTGCTTTAAATTTTTCAATTCCGCCGATTTTTGTGATCACGTCCCCATCTGTTAGTTTTGATCCTTGCTTAAATTTTTGTCCGCCTTTGAATTGTTATTCGAGGAAATCCTTTTCTGACTTCCCTCCCGTACAAAATACTCTTCACCTTGTCAGAAATTGCCTCGGTTAGTTTACTTACGTCTTCTTTCCCTTTACACTCAATAACAACCCCTAATTTTGTTTATCTTACTCCATTAATTTGTACCCCGTGATCAATAGGATTGATTTTTTCCTTTAATTATTTATTGGCTTCTGATGCTAAAACCTTTTCATTAACTGGAAGAAAACTTACGATACAATTAACTTTTGGTTCCGAAACTCTACTGTTTATAGCACTTTTTTCCGTTAAAGACGCGATAGTATAAAACTAATTGATTTTATCTGGAATGGGCTATTTATTCATAGGTATTTACTAATTAAGGTATACCTACTTCGTACTTCCCTACCCTTATTTTTTACCCGAATATTGATGAAAGAAAATTATGTTTTTCAAAAAAGAGAATGTAGACGTTAAGTAAATGGAAGATTCGACAATTTTCAGAGCATCCCCCAAGGTGTTGGCAGTTCTTCGCATAATTCCATGAAGGAGTTCCTGCATGTTTGTTCCATATTCTTCTTCTATGTACTATCATTGATTATTAATCAATGGTACTATGCACAAGTGCTATTGCATTGGTTTAAACTATCGCTATCATACTTTTCATGGTCCTCATGTTGTATAAGCGTACGCTGTGAAGATTGCCCTAATTAACACACAAAAATATAATTAACGTTGGAAATTGCTTCTGGGAACATTTCATTTATTTCTTCCTCATACTAAAATTGTCTTGTCTGCTTCTAATTTCAGTACCACTTCCTTGAATTATCTTCTCCCCGTTCTCGACAATTATCATGTCAGCTGATTGCACTATCATTTATAAAACACAAACGATATTGTATCTTTTTGCGTAAAGAAATTAGCATTCCGTATGTGTTATTGGTGGTTATTGTGATAATTATTCTAAAATTCTGCATTTCATTGAAAAAATGCTACACATACTACAACGAGAAAGAAAAGAAAAGCGTATGTTCAACGGATTTATTATACTTTTTTATAAAATACTATACGAGTAGGTACGCGGAAAGGATCCAATGAGCGAGTATTCATTTCGCTTTTGTTAATTAATTTAAAAAATTAACACAAATTCAAGAGATTGTACATTCTAATAATTTCGAGGTGTAGAGGATAGTGTTTTAGAAAACATTTTTTATCTGTAAAGTATTTAGGAAGAAGGAAATCACAAGAAGAAATCCATATAGAAACGGTAATTCGATAATGGCAATTCATATAATTTTGACCGGGAAAAGGTCAAGCCCTTGTATTTACTTTCACTTGAACGGATATTAAATTACCATTTTCTATTAGATTTTGCGACGAGGAAATTTCAATTAAGTGCGGGAACATCGCGTAGGCTGCGTAGAAAGCTAATGACTTCTTTCGAGAAGTCAGAACGAATATCTGCAGCCTTTTCTTCGTACCCGTACGAGTTCATAGATAAAGGGATTTGCATTGCACTTTAGGACACAAAGTAGAGGGTATTCTATCGGGAAATCTAATCTGTTTATTAGAAGTTCTCGAAGGGAGATGACGCACCCCTCATGAATACCAACATATCGTAAAATCTGCAATTGTGCTTGTATCATATCCTGAAGCTTTTAGATTTTATCAGTATACACAAAGATGATGTATGCCCTAGTGCGGAAGACCTGCATTTTATAATTTTCCGCTTTTATTTCAGATGTCACTACAAAGCAACAAGGGATTATGCATTCTGCTCACAATTCTCCTGCACTACTTTCATCTAACCAACTTTTTTTGGATGTTCGTCGAAGGTAAGTAGTTTGAACATTTCTCACGTATGCCTGCGACGCAAATCAAAATTATCCACCCCAATCGTTGAGTGTTAATATATGACCGCAATTGGAAATTTTTACGATCTGTAAATGTAAAATACAGAACATCTCTTACAATTTGTACACATCTGCCTCAACGTTTCACCAAATGTGTTTAATTGAGGATGCCTTCAAATTTAACATTGATGAATGTTAGGTAATGGGAATGGAAGACAAGTAGATTAAATAAGGTCTTCAGATTCAAGCGAACGACGTGCGATGCTGCAGTTATTGCAAAAAATGAACTTTATTCATTTTGTACTAATTAATACCCTTAGTACCCTCCTTTAACTATATTGAGCCCAAATCTATTTTGCAACTACAGGTATAATTTTGTACCCATTTTGTAGAAGCGGTACGCTAAGGAGAACTTAAAATGTATGAGAACATCGTTTTCAAGCATTTGCATCTGTTTGTGATGGTGTGCTTAAAGCAAAACTCAATTAATAAATTTATAATTTATGCATGAATTGTGGTTTAATGAAGCTTTCCACAGAATCCTAAAAAATTCAGTTCTGAAAATAAGTGGCTTCGTTTATACCACAAACTTAATTTATTTTCAGAGCGGATAGAAATGCTAAAAGTTTCTAAACATTCAAAACCTCGTATCAAAATTCAATTTTAACGTAGAGTTACGAAAAATTTTGACCTTCTACTTAAAGTATAGATCCGGGGTGGTATTTAAATAACTTGTATGCAGACATTTTCAAAAAAATTAATTAAATTATTAAAATTTGAAATGGAATGTGATAACGTCACGCGGTTTTTACCCCAATCCAGGGTGTCCCGGTGATGATTTCTATCCCTATCATACCATACTGTAGAATCTTAAATGGCATTCTACAGGGTGGGCCATTAGTATGTGGGTGGAAGATGTGGGTTTATTTAACGCACATATTTAAAATTCATTGTCGGGCAATGTTGAAGGACCCTGTATATTATTGCATATTTTGATTCCTTGGTCAATTTTCGTGTGACTTTATGCATTACACATGATATCTAAAATGAGTCGTTTAGCCGCAATTCGTCGTTTGTTCAAAAAGTAGGTGCTCAATAAAAATTGAATATCCCAGTTGTCATAAAACTTAGAAGGCCGTGACTCGACAGCAGTGTTAATAATCATCAAATGCATACTAACATACGCCGAACGGCTATAAAGTTAAACTTCTTTTGCGTTAAAAGAAATCACTCCGTCAATTTTCAAAATTTCAGTCAAAGGTAACTTGACTTTTTAAATGGAACTACCAAGTTTTTTTATTGCATGAAATTTAAGGATTTGAGTTTGATTTAAGCACACCATTGACAATTAACATTCGGGTTTTTCGAAAATAAGGGCAAAATGTTTGTTGCGAATAGTTTTATTTTGCCTATTTTTAACGATCCTTTATAATTTTATATTGCTGTCGGTCTGTCTGTCCTTGTCCATAATAACTTCGTTCAGAAACGTTCGATCGCTCTGAAAATTAGTACACATGTTCCTAAGGATATAAGGTCAGCTACGTAGTTGATGGATGCGTAAAGGTCTCGAGAATCGTTCAGTATTCCGTTGTATCGGATTTTTGTTCAATGGATTTTACGTTTACATGCAATCGCATCTTTCTTTTGATTTCTGATATTGAACTTTTCAAGAACCAACCAGAAGGTTACGATGATGAGTAACCTATACCGTGTCGAATTCTGACTTGGTACTTCAATACAGACTTCTAAACGCTGCAAAACAAAATGAGTCCAAAATTATGGTACAAAAATTTGTGGATGTGGATCTGTATACTTGAGAAATCCGAATGTATACACGGTGTCCATTTTTCGAGTGCCACTATGGGGATCTCACTTATCTTAAGAGATAGAAAGTTGGTTAAATGGGGGCAAAGTTGCAAATTTCCGTGCTGAATAAGAATCTGAAAAGAAATTTGAAATATCTTCAATACTTTTGAAGATATCACAAAAAAACGAAAATTTCTGATTTTCGTTTTTAATTTTTTTATGATAATCGTAGTAGACATTTCTAATTAGCACATTATTCGGACACTTTTTAATGGAGATTTCAAATATGGCATCCTGTTTTTAACTACGTTCAAGATGACGGAGAAACACTTGGCAACTTTAGTTTTTCTTATGGGCGCCATATTGAATTTTGACATTTTGGGATTACGTCTTTTTTTCTCTTTACCGTTGTATATCACACACAGTGGTTCAGTATCACATTTTTCCTAAAAATACAATTTTTCATTTTTTGAGAAGAGTGCTTTGGAAAAACAAAACGTTCTTTTGTTGTCAACAAAAGTTTGACAGTTTGATGCATCTGTCTGGTTGCAGCGTTGTCAGAGAAGTAGAAATTCGATTTTCATCTCAACCGTTTGCAAAATTGCCTGCTCACATTCATTGGGTCTATGACCATATTGCTGTCTACATCTTTTAAAAGAACCATATTCGCCCAAGTTTTTATGCAGCAAAGAAAAATACCTCAAACTAGGTTGTTGTCGCTCTGGATAATGCTGCAAGTATGTTGCAGTCATGTGGTAAATTTGGATCATAACTCTTTGTTCTGCACTTGAAAAAGGCATTTTCGCATTGCAACTAGCATAAACCTAAATGACACTACATGAAATAAGTCAACCTTTTGTTCACAACAAAAGAACGTTTTGTTTTTCCAAAGCACTCTTCTCAAAAAATTAAAAATTATATTTTTAGGAAAAATGTGATACTGAACCACCATGTGTGGTGATATATCGTTGTAAAGAGAAAAAAAGACGTAATCTCAAAAGAATAAGAATAAGAAAAACTAAAGTTGCCACGTGTTTCTCCGTCATCTGGGAGTTATTATAAACAGGATGCCATATTTGAAATCTCCATTAAAAAGTGTCCGAATAATGTGTTAATTAGAAATGTCTACTACGATTAGTTTATCATAAAAAAAATAAAAACGAAAATCAGAAATTTTTGTTTTTTTGAGATATCTTCAAAACTATTGAAGATATTTGAAATGTCTTTTCAGATTCTTATTCAGCACGAAAATTGGCAACTTTGCCCCCATTTAACCAACTTTCTATCTCTTAAGATAAGTGAGATCCCCATAGTGGCACTCGAAAAATGGACACCGTGTAGATTTGGTGATAAGGTGAAAAAGTAGTGGTACAAAATTTGACATCTGCTGTATAAATACTTTTCCAAAACTTATCCAAAATGAAACTTAATAGTTTTTCTAGATGGGCCTGGTCATTTAGGCAAGTCGGAACCGTTTCAATTGATCAGTTTTAACGTTCGTCGTTTGACATAAGTTTGTCACTTCCGCGCCTTAAAACCTGCATTGTTACGATAAAGATGAGTAATACCACATAAACTTTTGCATATAATTTCAGACAAAACCGATAAATATTGAGCACAATCTGAAGGAAGCATACTCTCTTTTAAAACCTTGCCAAGTTCGAGAAGTCACTCGACTTTTGTTCCCCCATTTTATCTAATGCGATTCTGCCATTTTATGCTTCGTAAGCACGCCGCCGTATGCAGAGATGAATGTTTGTTAGATACAAATCAAATGAAATGATAGATGAGTTCTGCTGTTTGCATAAAAATCGCATCATTTGATACGGAAATCGTAGCGGAATGTTGCCGGCATTATAATAAATCTCAAAAGAAATGTATGGGTAAACATTTACAAATGGTCGCCTTTTTGCACTCGACCGAAAGAAGTTAATTAATCACTTACTTTGATTGCAGGTTTATATTTGCACATTCTCGTCGTGAAAACCTTCACGGGGGACAATATTAAATTACCAGTCTACGCTATAATCGGTTGGGGTGAGTATATTTGTTAACAACCCCTTCGCTTAATTATAAACCTATTAGAATACCGCATGTTAATGTGTTTTAATTAACTGACAAACTTTATTGATTATTTGTATAACATACCACGCCTCGTATTCGATTAAAATTTAAGGGTTCTTCTCGCTTTAGGTTGTCCAATGGTCTTTGTGCTAATTTGGGGGATTACAAGGAGCTTTTCGCCGACTGAGAACGATAGAAAGGTAATTGTTAAACGAGAATGTAATTAAAACTTTAATTTCTTGTTAATACAGCGGTCAATTTTCAATTAGAGTTTCGTTCACGTTTTATTGACAGGAAACTTAGTGATGTTGCTTAATCGGATAAGGTTTTCGTTTCGTTTACAGGCCGGAGAAATTATAAGAAGTTGCCCCTGGACACCGCACGTTTCCGATTGGATTTATCAGGTACCGGCGATGGCAGTTCTTCTATCAAACGTCGTCTTTATGGGGGTAATCATGTGGGTACGTAACAACGGTTTCATTTTCGAAAACAATCGGTTAAACATTTTAAGATCAAGCGAAGACATAATAAATCTCTTTTAAAATAGCACGTTTCCGATTTCAAAATCGTTAAACGAATTTTATAAAGGTAACATAAATCCGCCGATACTCCCGCGTTAAGAAGCTTTTATGACGGTCTCTTTCGCGTTTTATGGTTTTCCTAAACAGGGAAAGTCAACGGATTTTTTCCTTTCTAAAAAATTGTTCCATTTTCAAGTTAATATGCTTACAAGAAACGAGGGTGTTATATCTTATGTAGGTGGATAGATATACGTAATTTATTCGGGACACCGTGAAATTTAACGAGTTTTTCTTCTGTAAATGTACACTTGGCTATATCTAAACCAGAATTAACTCCTCACGCTCTCTGCTTGTCGTACGTTGTTATTTCTGAGATTCTTTTATTTTTGATTAAGACGGGGTACCTATTTTGTGAAAGCTGTTTTTTTTGCAAATTCCCACGTACGTTCAGACTTATAAATTGTACACTCGCCAGCTCAAAAGGACAATACGCTGCTATTTAAATTTGTATTGCAGTTTGCAGTTCTGTTTTGATCGATTTTGGAATTTAAAAAGGTCAGTTCAAGTGGCTTATTTTCAGTAAATTATGCTAATCTCAAGATGGAAATGAACCTTCTAAATCCTTGATAAACGAACTCGTCCAAGCTCTCGGCCTTCTATCTGTTGTCGAAAACAGAATTGCCACTTCGTTTTTGAGTTATCGTGCGGAACGACGGGCGGTCGGACACACAAACACAACGAAATCAATAGTAGGTGTGCTAATTGTTGTTGCTCGGTATATACTAAACATTGTTCAACACTTCCTGCTGTTTAAGCATATAGTCCAGTTTCAACTTGTCAAATATTGGAACCTGTTTGCAGATTAGTGATACAATACTGTGCAATACTTCAAAATTTTCAGAAATCCTGGTAGAATATGAGTATTGATGGGTCGCCTCTAGCAAATATGCCCGAGAATAACTCACTCCCTTAACATCCCTAAAGGAACAAAAATGACATAACAAATTTATGTACTCTTATAAAAATTGTTATTAAAAAATAAAAAGAGAGAGTATGGCTTAAAAAGTGACATAGGAGTAAGTTTTACCCCTTAATGTCGGAAAAGGTAACCTTCAATCTATGTATAACTTGACAATGACTACCTATACCTATATTCTTTTCTAAGAATTTTTCCGGGAATAACAGTTGGATGAAACTCACCCATACCCTCACCCCTAAAATACAAAAGTTTTTTTTTTATAAATAAATATAAATAAAGAAGCTAGTAGTTTTCTTGTCCTTTAACCCCATTTCTTAAATAAATAATTGTAAATACATACAAATGTAGTTTTCTTACCAACCCCATTTTCTTAATAAGTTATTATAAAGTAAGCGACGTGTATTATTTTTTATTATTAAGTTGAACCACGTAGATTTTATAAGAGCTAGCAGCTCCCAATATTTGAATGTTTCGGTTTTCAATATAATTTATTTTCTCTTGTTACATATTTAGGTAATTATGTCAGAAGGCGAAAAGGGACAGTGACTTAAGATAATGGATCTTTAGCCAAAAACAAAGGTCCAGTGATAATATGCCACCCACTCTGGCAGCTTTAAAACCAGCAATACAGCAATCTTCCTTGTGCTCCTGACGAAGTATTAAATTTAGTAAGATGCTCATGTTCGAAGAATAATTGCTCCCAGCCCTGAAACAGTGCCACTTTCAATGATGGTGTTCTGTGCTCATGTGAAGGTAATGTTGATTTTTGTGCGAATGTCGGGGAAATCAACTTGGATTCAGAAGATTCATCGGATAAAGCATCTTTGGACTGACGGATGAATCTTTGAAGGATGTTTCTTTAAACGCGGTTTGTTTATATCTATTTTATTTGTACTAAACATTAATAAAAATCTATAAACATTCATGAGTCTTGTTGCTTTTTTAAAAATGTGTTTGCTTTTTTACTATTTTGAAAAATATTAACATTTATAGCCCTTTATTTTCCATCTTATTTTTAAAATGACAACTTTAGCGCTTCGGCATCTAATATAATATATGACTTATTTGAATGTTTTCAACCCCTAATAACCTAAGGGTTGGAACTAGTTGAAGTCTTTACAAGTTTTGAACGTTTTTGTATTAATAAATACTACTCTTTAAATTTAAAATATATTCGAAAATATTTTACGAAGCCAATTCACAATTTTAATAAGGGGTGGCTAGAGGGGTTTGTTTCTGCCCTCAGACGCACTTGCGGCCCATCCATTCTCGCAATCTGCCAGGTATTTTGAAAATGTTAAGGTATCGCCCAATATTGTATCAGAAATCTGCAAACGGGATACAAATTGAGGCCGGACACCGCTTTATTTTGGTTACTTAAGGTGTATCATTAAGGTGTACATACGTATGGAAATGCTAGCATTAAGTAACGCCGGTTTCAGTTCAGTCCTTTTGTTCTATCAAAAGGTTCGTTTTACAATTTTCATATAGACGAAAAGCCAGTGATCAATTTTAGGTTGACAAGTCAAAAGTCGTGAAAATTCACACAGTAAATAGTCTATACCTATGCCAGGCTTAACTGCCCTAAAATTTTAAGGAGGGTTAAAGTATCAGCCATAAAATTTTGATAATATTCTGTATTCATATTATTTCCTATGCACAGATATGGCGAAAATACGCACATTCGCAAATTTAAATTGCAATATTTATCTTCATCCAAGTTGGCTTGGAAACAAAAGAACATAACAAGCGATAATTAAAATAATAATTAAATTTAACGTTCAATGTAAGTTTTTACATTATCGGCTTGACCTGGAACAATACAACGCGCAAGAAGTTACAAGGTCTAAGCATTGCATTGTATTTGACGTGGTGTAATTCTATTTTAATCCAATGCAATTCAGTTTTCAATTGCCACATGTCTGCCAACAGAAGAAAACATGGATTTTTCAAGAAAGTTGCTAACTTCAAATAAAAATCAAATTTTGATTGCATGAAGAAACATGAAAATTACAAAAATAAATAAGATTAATAAAAAAAGTAATCAGTGCGTCCCTCAGCACCACAGTTGTCACCGCTATATTTTATTAGGTTGGTGACACAAAAACAACTAGATTTATCCATAGAATTGCGCGGTTCATGCAAGGAAAATCGCTTTGAACTGCGTATGCCTTTCCACAATTTCTATTGTATGCAATTGCAATTTTTATTGTTCCATGTCAAGCAGGCTTTAGATAAAAAACGAAGTTCCTAGCAAGGTAGCTTTTTACGTGACAGTGTTTTTCTTTTGTTTCAAAGCCAACTTGGATGAATATTGCAACTTAAATTTGCGAATGCCTGTATTTTCATCATTTCTCGGCTTAGGAAACAGATATCAAAATGCGGTTTTCACTGATAGTTTAATTTTTGCATTTTATTTGATAATATGTAATAATATCGTTCCATGTAAAATTTTCAAGAAAATCTGCAAAGTTTATGTTAATGTCAAACCGCGCCCTCAACCATTTAATTAACCAGATTAATTTTTGTGCAATAAAAAGGTTCAATACGAGGGCAGTTTGATATATATGTCAGTGACTTTTTGAATGAAAGATATTTTTTTTAGGTATAAAACCGTTTTATTACTCTCCTTTTAGCTCGGTACCTTTAGTCCACCGTTTTTCTCAAGTCCCTTAAAATAGGCGTTTGTTTCAGTAATGACCTCTTCAATGGACCCAAATCTCTTGCCATGGATACGTTTTTCATGTCCAAATATTTATGTAAAATGTAACGTGTCCGATCAGTTGAGATACCTACAGCTACCTCGCGCACTTTTGTTCTCCGATCTTCCAATAGCATTCCATGAATTGTATCGACGATTTCCCTCGTGACGAGCTCTTTTGGGCAACCTGAACTCTGGTTAAAATTCAGGTTGTCGACTTTTACTAGCTGTCCAACACGAACTAAATGGCGTAGCTTGCCCAAAATTGTACAGTAGTACGCACAGTGCTTCAATTTAGAACAGTGACGATAACCGTTTTTGATTGGTTGTTGGTTCCGGTCGCCATATTGGGACTAAAATACTATACTTCGGTGTAGGAGTTTAAAGTGTCACCTTTTTTTTTTTCCGAAAAACAGCTTTCATAGCAATCAGTCGTTTAACCCTGCTCACATCCCAGCCCATGTTCTGTATTGTCTAAGGAAATGTATCAAATGTGTTTTACAATTTTTCTTTTTTTTTTAAATGAAAATTACAACCTACAATCGGTGGTTCGTTTTGTAATGAAAGCCCTGGGTACACACTACTTAAAGGTTTCTATACTTAGGGCGGATAATTAATATTTATAAACCTTGAAAAAGTTTTATCTCGTGAAACTAGAATACACGTATGTGGGTCTGAGATTTCTCCAAATATTAAATTTCCGAAATAAAGTTTCCCTTCAATTTTTTTCCTGTCCCACAAACTTTTTCGTGGCATTCTATTATAAAGTAGAAAATATGTGACAATGTTGTCGTGTTCCCGTTTAAAACTTGATCGATCTGTTTGCAAAGAAAAAGTTAATGCAGTTCATCTTGTGTGTATATCCGTAAAAGCAGCAGTGTAGAGTTCTTCGAACGAGTTTTTGGTTGTGCCACTTTTGACAAATGAACATTACATGCCCTTTAATTACTATATGAAGGGAACTCAACTCACTCGGTTGCGAATTCAATTGTTAGCAATGTAAGCGAATTTTCCAGGTCCTGATCACAAAGTTGCGTAGCGCCAACAGCGCCGAAACTCAACAGTACAGAAAAGCGGCGAAAGCTCTGCTCGTCCTGATTCCATTACTCGGCATCACATACATTCTTGTCATAGTCGGACCGGCTGAAGATGGACTATTCAAAAGCGTTTACGACATCGTCAGGGCCGTTTTATTGTCCACCCAGGTTTGTCCCTTGTTATCTTTAGTAAATACTAACGCGGAAACGTTTTAGGGTTTCACCGTCGCCCTCTTCTACTGTTTCCTTAACACGGAAGTGAAAAATACGGTGAGGCATCGCTTTAATAGTTGGCACGCCAGACGCACCGTTGGATCTCAAAGGGAGTCGAGATATAGTGGCAGAGATTGGTCGCAGAGATCGAATCGTTCGAGGGGAGAAAGCTTACGGTAAGTTGAATCTGATCTTTACTAATAAAATCTGACAACCCCTATATTGCGAGACGTTTATGAACATCGTGCAGATGTAAATCGTTTCCGCCCTAATTCGCGATATGTAAATGTCGCGAGTCTCAATTGCTTGCAAACGCTTCCAATGCTTTTCTTACAAAAAATTCAGTAGCGGGAACTGCAAGTGGTTTGTGTGTCGGTTGATTGCGTCACCTCTTTACTCTCTCTCACCACAGCTCCTCAATGATTTTGAACTTTCTGTCCGTCCGTCTGTTTTGTCGCTAGTGGTCTATGTTTGTTTGAAACAGTTTATTCTGTTTCTGAACACACTGACACTCTGGTGGCCGTTAAAGTAACAAAAACTGAAAAAAAATCACTAATAAACCAACAGTAAAACTTTTATAAAACGGACGCGTTTTGAGCAAAGCTCTCTCATCAGATTCTGTTTAATCTAATTAAAGTGGAAGTAAACGTCCTGAAGGACCTAAAGGGCGCCCCTGGTGATTATTCAATAGATAAACGTTTGTTCTTGCAATAATGTTGAAATTTTCATAACGATCTAATTCACTCTTTTTATCTATCCCAAGGATTGAGCCATGTTCTTTTTAAAAAGCTGTTATTTAGCATATTTCATGCCAATATTCTCTGTTCAAGATCATTTCTTAATACTTAAATTATTGACTATCGTACATTAAATTGTACACGTGAATTAAGTGTAGGTAATTGCATTTGAATCATTCAAGGTTTTATTATCTGAATTTCCAAATTGGTTGTGCAACAGAATATTACATATAATAGTATATTAAGAGACAAGTGTATAATCAAGTCTTTAAAAAGCACCACTTTCCTCTCTAGTGAGGAAAGTAAAAAACAATTGCTGCTTTAATTTTAATAATGACATTTAAAATTGAAACATAGCTAAATCTAGATTGCTATGTGTCAAACTTCATTATTGCATAAGATAATTTTTCAGTTTTGATTGTAGTTTCAGAAAAAACTTGAGAAGAAAGTGTTCTTCAACTCTCGTTCAATTGACACATATGAGCGTAGCGACTTTGAACTCGAGTTGAAAAACTCCACTTTCTTCTCTAGTTGTACAAATAACTATTATTTTACATCCGTTGTTTCTCGTGAAGAACTGGAAGTTAGGGTGAGATGAGCTTTTGATATAATGGAATGGGAATTCTAACGGAGTTAATTGGAGGGTGCTACCACTGCCGTCTCAGTTTAGATTGAGACGGCAGTGGTACTACTATGTATTGAAGAAAGCGGAGGGGCGTAGAACAAAACCTCAATTCATGTGTGTTTTTTATTTTGTCGTTTGTTTTGTCGACCTGTTTCTGTTTATTGTCTCATCTTTATTGAACTTTGTATTTATCAATTTTTTTTTCATATTTAGTGATAACGGGCGATCAAAAAAGGATTGACGTCAAGTCGCCTCTGGAAGTTCAAGTTAAATATGTTTTCCCATGTAAACAAAAATTCCAAAGGTGACTCGACAGCAACTCTTTTTTCATCGCATAGTACAATGCGATCAAAAATGAGTTGCTGTCGAGTCACCTTTGGAATTTTTGTTTCCATGGAAATCGTACTTAACTTGAACTTCCAAAGGCGACTCGACAGCAACTCATTTTTGATCGCCCGTTATAAACTACCGCGAACAACAATTAACCATAAAAATATTTGTCTGACAGTTCTGACAACGCGTTTACTTCAAGGCCTACTAAAAGAAAATTATGCACAATGGTCCCAATTTTAGAGAATCTAAAATACAACGAAAAGCATAACAGATAGTTATAGGGAATGTAATAACTAATCGATGTAGAATTTTTTTCGACATTTGAAAATGCAAAAAAAATCACGTTCCATTTGAAAAAATCAACTTTTTAAGGTTTCAAGTTATTAAACTTGACCATTAGTTTTAAAACACCCTGCAGAAGGGCGATCAAAATTTAAATCATTCGCATGTATCATCACGTCAATTTGTTGATTTTGGAAGTCTTTTTAAAATTCAGGTTAACGAAGCCATAGAGGTACCTACAGGTCGCTAAAGAAAAGCAGTCAAACGTCGCCTATTTTGAAAAATCTTGAATAGCTTGAAAACCTTAGATGCTGGGCATAGGGAAATGTGGTAACAGGCGATGTAGATTTTCATGTAGATTTGGAAAATGCGATAAAATACAGGGTGTTCTATTTAAAATAAGAAAATGGCTATCCACATCCAACAAATCCGGAAGTGAAGCGATCTTGATAATATTTTCATTCGATAGATCATGAAAAACTATGCTCGTATGCAAACTTTCAGATTTAAATTGTTAATGGGAGTTTCAATACTTTTAGGTAACGGTTTGCGTGAAACTGCCTGTATACTTTGCTCTGTTATCAATGATAGGCAAATCGTTTACGTATATTATGAACGGTAGCGGTCCTTGTGGTACACCTCGACTTAGTTGTCTGTAATTTTTGAATTAAGATGAATAGTTTGTCGTCTGGCATGAAGAAAATAATATAGCAAACTGCAGCTTTTGCCTTACAAGCATTTTGGTAACTTTAAGCATTCTGAAGAAGACTCGTAAGCACTTTCTGACAATTCAAAAATTGTAGAACAACAGAGGTTAGGTTTCCAGCCCTAACTATCAAGTTACCTTATTGCTCAAGCCTCTAAGGTTGCTTTACTCAGCTTACCAGGGGCTTAGACTTAGAAGAACATATAGTTGTTAAATAATTGCCATAAACTATGCTTGAATAACTTGTACTGTACTGTTGCATTTTTCGGAGTTGACATGCTATTAAGTTAACTTCTGTTCGCAGCTTGTACAATCAGAGTGGCAACATGTATCGAAAACGAGAGTCGACTTGCTCGGACGCAACCACAACCACCGTCGTAACAGTCGCAACCACCGGTAAGCAAACTCCTCAAATTCGCAGCCCTCTGCTGCCGCCGCCGGGTGAACTGGGCTGAGAAAAAGTGCCACGAGAGGAACGACGGTAATACCACTCTCATTTTCATTTCCGAAAGTGCCATCCTCTTATTTTATAGAGCCACAATGGACACTCTTTTGGAAGAAGACGGAGTCGGTCCATGTGGTGGCTACTCTCGTGGCAACTCAATGTTAAATTTGCATAAGTCGCAATGAAAAACCTTTATATGTGTAACATGTACCATACTACTAACAGTTTGTTGTAAAGATGTGTTTGAATGTTTTTATTTTGTTGTTAGTGACCTTATTTCCCCATATACCTACCTAGTCTGATTCTATAAAACATGTGGGCCATTATTACCATTAATTCTTGCTCGTGTTGTAACGGCTGTATAATTATTTTGACAGGTAACTGAGAGAGCCTATGTGTAATTTGTAATTTTATCAATTTAACGTAGGTACGTACATTAGTAGCACGTTCAGCCTCATCACATCACAAAACAATTGTTTCAATATCAGCTCTCACTAATATACACTAATACAAAATAGGTATGTATGAACTCCTTACCTTTATAAAGCTAATGGATACGAACAAAAATTCCTGCACCACCCGCACACTTGCGTATGCGCGATTCTGCCCTTTCATGTCTAACAATATGTGTACCAAATTTGGTTCCAATCCCTTCAGGAAATGAGAGTACAGACGGACCGACAAACCGACAATATTGAGATTTTGTTTGAATCGGATTCCTTGTGCTTCAAAACGTGTATTTACGTCAAAAAAGTGCGACGGTAAAAAACCTTTTCTTGATATAAAATTTTGTATTGCTTTAATTTCGTTTCTTTAATTTGACCATAATAACATTTAATTCAAAGATTATTTTTTATTTTAAGAGATCTAGTTTATTTAACAGTAAAGTATTATTTCTTTAGTTAAATTTTTTTAATGTAAAGCAATATCGTAAAAGTAAACATACATGTCGTTAGTTGAAATGTAGGAAAAATTTAAAGAGAACCTTTTTGAATGATAACGTCAAAATAATCCTATGTTCGGCTTGAAGCTTTTATTTGTGGAAAAATAATAGTGGATTTGTTTTAAAGATACATTATGTTTAATCCGAAAGGGAGAGTCTAAAACTAAAGAAACACTCGTTTTCTTTGTTCATTATTTGGCTACATTTAAATGTATTAAATACTTAAGACAAGCATTTCTTTATTTGAACTTATGCTTATATTTTTCATTTAATGCGTGCTTCTTTATAAGCAGAATATTAAACGTGCAAATTGCAGTTGCAAACCCACTGAATATACAGGAATACGCCATAACTGTCCAGTGTCTTGTCATGTTCGTATAGCGGTATCAGTTCAGTATATCCCGTGAATTTGCAGTTTTTAGTTTCTTTAATAGTGCTACTGGATGAAGTGAAAATGTATGCTGATGTTGAAAGTTTACTCGAGGATTGGGGACTGCCTCAATTAATTGAAACCTTTAAAAGTAAGTATTTAGTATATAGTTACTTATGTACCTACCTTTTATGTACCTACCTAAAGTCAAATCAAGTAGTGGTAGGTACTTGTTACTTTTATTTTAATTATAATTATTATTGGTGTAATTGAATTACATCGGATTATGTGATTAGGTCACCTGTTACTTTTTGCTTTATTTGGAAAAATAAGTTGGGTGAATTTTGAGATTTGCACGCATACATGGCAAGCATTTCAAATTTCGATTATGGTATTTCTTAATGGTTTTACTTGGTGTAGGTATAAATCAACAATTTGTGTGATTCTGTAGGTCACCGACATGAAATTTAATACATTATTAAATTATTTCCTACCAGCATTTCTTCATAACTTATGCTCTATATACATATAGAGATTATTGTTAATCCGCGAGAAACTGAGTGTATAGCAGATTTTTCATTCCGTAATCTAATTTCTCATTTCATGTTGCTTACAATCCGAGTTACAATTTTGTGTTTATTTTTTTAATTAGAATTTAGATCACTAGGTAACTATATTTCTAAAATTATTATAATTTTTAGACAACGACATAGATCTCTCAAACTTCTTTTTATTAGAAGAATCTTTAATAAAGGAACTTATTCCCAGCATTGGGATCAGGGCAAAGTTTTTATCTCTATTTAAAAGAGCAAAAGAACTGGAGAATTCTAGTATTGTAGTCCACGAAGTAGTCCAGGTATGCTGTATACATACTACACCTTCCAGATTTTCTTAATTGTACAAATTTAAGGCGGTTGACGACGAAACATCAAATCTTATCCAGGCGAACATGGAGTTTGAGTCAAACTCAGAAAATAGGGTAAAATGCATCATGCATGCCGTAAGTTTAATTGAATCTGAATTTTAATACTTATTTAAAGGAGAGAAACGAGCAATACTTTATCATACCCCAACAACATCGGCCGGCTGCTGAAATCGGACTCGAAAACATGCTTAAAAAAATTCAACTACCGGAATTTGATCTAAAAACTCTTTTATGTACCAGCGTATTTGGATCAGAAATTTTGGAATATTACAATAAAAATAAATTTTTGGATATGAAACGGAGAAACAAATTAACAGAAATAATTATTAAGCACGTTTTTGATTATGTTGCAAAATAGTGAGTTTACATCATATGAAGTCGTACCTTTACCAATACCTACCAAATTTTTAGTCGACTAACACCAGAGGATTACAATGTCCTAGCATCAAAAATAATAACGCTTTTCCCAAAGGAAACTGCTAGTACTTACTATGTTCCAGCCATTCGCAAGAGAGACTCTATAACTCGCAAACCTATACTGGCACGCGGTAAATTGGTAGACAAATGTCGAAACCTTTTACATGACTGTGGACCGAGTGTCATTATTAGGAAAAGGAAAAGTAGTTATTTGGATGAAGATGACAGTTATGGTCACACTAAAGAAAGGCAAATAGTGTTAGAAAGTGGTTAGTAAATAAATATCGATTGCTTATAAAATGTTTATAAAAATATAACTTACAGATGAGCTAAAAAATGATATGATATGGCTGCAAAATAGGCATGAGCCCTGGGATGAAGTTCTGACAAAGTGGAAGAATACGTACGGGCTTCGGAAATTATCGACTGCAGCGACTGTCAGAGAGTTCTTTGAAGAATGGCCAATTTTAAAAAAAGACAATTCAGAGGTTTTGGTAGGTTTTATCAATTTTTTTAGTTCAAGCAGATTTTCAAACGGTAATTTAACGTGAATTTTCGAAAAACGCTCGGACACGTCAATTTTTTTATTCTAACGTATAAAACGTTTACAATAAAACACGCTCACTATCCTTTGGCGCTGGAGGCACAACTCCAAAAATGTTAATTATGCCTAATTGAGCATCCAACATATAATTGGAAAGGCCTTCCCTTTTAAATATGAAATCTTATTTTTTTTATATTTAATCATTTAGTTTCCAAATGTTTTGTTTTGAGCCACCCTCCTAAGGCATTTCCAAATTAAATAATGAAATTGTTTACAATACTATTATATCTTTTAAATGTAGTGACACTTACTTAGTTGTTTGATTATTGCAGATTAACTTGGATTTTGAAAGAGAGTATCCACAATCAACTCTGAAGCTCATTTTGGACTGGGAGAGCGCGTTTCAAAAAATTTTTGAATATAAAAGTCTTACAATAAAAGATAAATTTTGTGAGGAACTAATTACACTTTTAAACAGCGAGGGCATTACGGAAGGTACTAGTATAATTAGTTGAATTGTTGTGTAAATACAAATAATTCTGGTTTTTAGATAGTACATTTGCCGCACAAATCAGTATATTAGCGTATTTAGTACCTCCTAAAGGCAAAATTAATTTGGGTAGCAAGAATTTGTGGAAATTTTCATCTGCAGAAGCAGTCAATTCTATTATATGCCATGCTAAGGTAAATATTTCTCATTTTATGTAGTACGTTCTTTAATATGTTGCTTTAATGTGCAGATTCCCGGTGACGTAGATGAGATTATCAGGAAAAACAAGGAAACCGCGGCCATTAAAAAACAGACCGTCCAACCTTACATGATAGTGGAAGGGCCTTCATTAAAACAACTTAACAATTTTTATATAGTTGTGGACGAATTAAGGTACCAGACAAAATCTGCGAAACAAGCCTTTGATAATGTTTTCAAATTATTTTTTGTAACAAACGCGAAATATCCTGCCCCCGCAGAACATATTTACCTAATTATTCAGAAGGGCATTTATCATATAAATACTCGTCAAGATAATATCATTCCATATATTATGGACATACTGGAACTTTTAAAAAAAGATTAACTCTGTGTCGATAGCACAAGATCTCTTAAATACTATTGTTACTTACTTGGTGCCATATTATTTATTAATTAGGTCTACAAGAGAAATACTTGAGTTTAAGAATATTGTAACTTGTTTTTTATTTAGCAATTACTACTTACAGAATTTTTTTTTCAAATTTAACGTTTTGTTTACATAATACAAAGTTTATATATAAAATTGTAAAATGAAGTGTGGAGAGTGCCGACGTACTTTTGTTAATCCAAAAAAATTTGCATTGCATCTAGAAATCTTTCACCAAAAGACTAATTTTATGTGTCCAGAAAAAAATTGTAGGCGATTATTTTCAAGAAGGGATGCATTCGTTAAACATTTAACATCAAAACATATTAATAAATTTCCTTCAACTTCATCAGTAAAGCCCCATGTTCGTGACACTCATACAATACCTACTGCATCGGTATTACCTCAGAATGCACAAGCTGCACATCAAGATAACTTTAATAACATTGAAGATGAACGCACAGTAAGTTCTGATAGTCTAGACACACTTGTATCAAAATTTTGTAGTTTAATAGATTCTGAAATAAGAAAATTCATTTCACAGCTTTATGACAAACTAACAATAACAAAAAGTTGCATTCAAAATATTATTCAATTTGTAAATGCGTTTTTATCATCGGGTGTTTTAGACCTGTTACAAAAATGTTGTGAGGTAGCTAATGGAAACACTTTACCGTCACAAATTTCAAATATGTTTAAATTATTAAAAAATCCATTTCTCCATTTAGACACAGAACACAAAAGATTTAAATACTTTCTTCAAAGTAATTACTTAATAGAACCTTTTGAACAAGTACTTGGGCTCAGCGGTACTCGATCTGCGAAAAAAGATATAGTTTCATTGGTCTTAAAAGATCGCAGTTTTTGTTACATACCGTTAAAAAAAACACTTAAACTTTTTTTGGAACTCCCCAAAGTCTTTGACGAAATTGTTACATATCAAGGCAACATTTGTAAACGTAGTGCTTATTGTAATATACTCAATGGTTCTTTGCACAAAGATTTTTTCAATAATGTAGACAATAAGATAGTCTTACCTTTGATACTCTACTACGATGACTTTGAGACCTCAAATCCTTTAGGAAGTCACGCCGGTGTTCATAAATTGGGAGTTATATATTGTTCCGTTGCTACTACACCTCCACAGTATTCTAGCCGGTTAGAAAACATATTTTTAACAATGATATTTTACAGTACAGACAGATTCCATTATGGTAATAAAGCATTATTTACTACATTAGTACACGAAGTAAATTACTTAGCAACTGAAGGTATAAACTTAAGTCTTGAAGATAGAGAATACAAGGTTTTCTTTAAATTGGTAGCGGTTGTAGGTGATAATTTAGGCATGAATTCAATTTTTGGTTTTGTTGAAAGCTTCACTGCACACTACTATTGCAGAATTTGTTATTGTAAGAAAAATGTGGCACAAACCCAAACGGTTGAAGATAAAAATTTTTTGAGAAATAAAATAGAATATTTAAATCACGTGGATGGTCTTCATTTTGGTCTAAAAGAAAAATGCATTTTTAACGATGTTCACGATTTTCATGTTTATAGTCATAGTGTATGTGATATAATGCACGATTTGTTTGAAGGTGTACATAGATATACTATGGCAAAAATTATAAATACTTTAGTTTCTCAAAATTTCTTTACCTTAACTCTACTGAACTCTAGAATAAGATATTTCACTTACGATACTTCTGACAAAAACATTCCGCCCCCTATCAAAGATGAACATTTGAAGAATGGCTGCATTATCAATTCGTCATCTGAAATGTTGTGCTTGGTTAAACATTTTAGACTAATTGTTGGTGATTTGGTGCCAGTTAATAATGACATTTGGTCGTTATACTTGATGCTTTTAGAAATAACAGAAATTCTTCTTTTGCCGGAAATTAATGACGAGTGCATTGCTTTGTTGGAATTGTTAATTAAAGAACACCACTCCTTATACATGAGTCTGTTTTCTGAAACTTTAAAACCAAAATTTCACATGTTAACACATTATCCAGGTCTTATTAGAAAAATGGGACCCCTTGTGCATCTGAGTTGTATGAGATTTGAAGCTAAGCACAAAGAACTAAAATCAGTTTCAAATATTATAAAATGTAAAAAAAACTTACCTTACTCGCTAAGCTTAAGGCTGCAACTAAAATTTTGCTATAGAATTATGGCACAAAATAACTTACTAGATGATTTAGATTATGGGCCTTTGTTGGAAATATCCAACAATGACATAGATTGCCAATTTATCGTAAATTCAAACTATTTTTTAGTACCGTGGCTGACATTTAACGGAATTTCATACAAACAAAGTTCAGTCATTTTGATAGATAGCTATGAAGATTTTCCACAATTTGGATTAATAAAACATATTTTAATTGACGAATTTAATAACTTTTCTTTTTACTGTAATTGCTTAAAAACCGGCAGCTTCCACGAACATCTTAGGGCTTATGAAGTCGAAGTTTTAGATAAATTTGAATTAATAACTTTTAATGAATTAAAGAATGTAGATACGTCTGCACTCCACACTGATACACATGGAAAAATGTACGTTTATTTTATGTAAAATAAATCATCTAATTTGGGGATAAAGTATTTTATTTTCTACCGCATACCATTCCGTATACGTTCAGCTTAAAAAAATTATATACTTGCATCAAAATTAAAAGTGACTTTAAATTTAACAATTACTTTTAGATGTACGTTCAGTCCAATAAGATCATTTACTTGCATTAAAATTAAAAGTTACTTTAAATTGATCAATTACTTGTATCCAATTAAATAATTCATTTCTCTTAAACAAAAATTACATTTGTTAAATGTAATTTATTTTTGATTTTGCGTTAAAAGTATGTATGTTTGAATTAAGAATATAATATTCTTATAACAACCAAGAATACACTTCAACTAAATATACAGGGATTTCCCATAACGATGTCATTTCTTTTAAATAAGAAATAAATTACCTTAAATCAAGAGTAATATGCTTGAATCCAGCATACTAACATAAATATTTAATATATTTAAAATAAATTAATCATTTCTTTGTGGATATGGGAAACAATGATATGTTTAATTGAAACGTTATCTAATTATATTAAACACATCTTTTTATGTGTGTGTAACATAACACCAGATAATGAAATTTATTTCATAGATATGAAACAAATATATCTTGGCATTAACGTGATGGAAAACATTAGAGAGTTGTCGCAACCTTTCCGCTAAACGCTAACGCTATTTTAGCAAAAATACGCTTGCGCAGATAATAGCGTAACGCTATTACGTTAGCGGAGCACGGTATTTTCGTACGAATAGCGGGTTTGTTTACCGGTACGATATTTTTACTTTAGTGAGGTTAAGTGCACATTTACGTGTTATTTCTCTTGCAAGATTCAAAAAATGGCAAATAAAACGCGGTTAAGATTCACAAGTGCAGATGACTCTTACAGAGTGTTTTGGTAGAAAATCCATACGAAGATTCTTCAGGTTGGGATAGGGTGCATCAAACTTTAATAGAAGTCTCTGGAAAATCCTTTACATTACGTGGTGTAAAGGATCATCTGGAATATTTATTGAAACTTTTTATGAAAGAAGATGCTGCTAATTTAAAAAAGTAGGTATGCCAAACGTGTACAAAAAATGTGGTCTCTGTACCTAAGTGTTATAGATCAGGCACGGAGGAGGAGTACGATGAAAAGGTCAGATTGTTGACAGAAATTACGGAGTTGAGGCGAGAATTCCAGTGCAAAACAAATACAAAGACTCTTAATCCCAGCTCCAGCTCGTCCAAACGGCAAGGGTCACTTGTGCGTGATGCGCCAGCAACAATTGCGGCATGTAATGCAGAAGGTGGAATGTAGAACACAAAAATGTACATTGCCTTACACTTGTAATTGTAGTTACATATACTATTGTTGAAGATGAAGTAATGGAAAATGAAACAAATAGCGTACAGAGAAATCCATATGACGAACAAATCAGCGGAACATCAACTCCAACATCAAATATACTTGGTACACGCATAAAACAGATTTCTTTAATGAAATATACTATTTTATTTGAAAGTATAAAGTCATTTTGAAATAATACCCTTTTAACTGAAGTATCTTTACTTGGAAAAAAATGAAAGTAATCCTTGTTTGGACTATTTTAAATGCTTACATAATAGTTTCAAAATAACGATCTGGAGTTTAATTTGAACAAATACTGAATTGGATAAAAAATCTTTAACGCATCAATTAAAAGATTAGTATATATTCGATTAGAATTGCGGGATGTATTGAATTCAATAGTGTGCGCATTAAATGAAATATATGGTATATTTAAACTTCTACTTGGTTCATTAAAAGCCACCTTTATTTAAAAGAAGAATATGAAAGTTTAATTTAAGCATATGACATATACGTAGCACTGATAATTAAGTATATCATATTTTGATGAGTTGCGAGTTTACCGACACGTAAAAGCGTTACAACTTGCGTCTTGCAGTCCAGCGTTTTTAGTTTAGCATTCAATGGTTTTAATTTGTAATCGCATCTTCCCTTTGCTATTAACAAATTGTGTTCGGGTTTTTGTGTATGCAGTTAGTAATTTATCATCGATTATTTAATGATGGAAAATACCGCAACCGCAACGGCTCCATCCACTGTACAAGATTTGATGGCGTCTTGGGGTTGTACGGCGGAGACCATCGATGTGTTTAAAAGTAAGTAAATTATTTGAAATTTTTATTGTGTTAGTATTACAAATAATAAGAATAACAATGAAAATGTATTTGGAGAAGGCATGTCTTAGCCATACATTCAGTTACTGCACTTAACCCAATAACAAAGTGAGCTTATTTTTAGGAAATGATATTGGGATAGAGTTGCTAAAGCATCTCAATGACAAAGAGCTTCGCGAACTGTTGCCTAATTCACTTGGCATGCGTAAGTTGATATCATTGCGAATTAGGGAATTGCAACAACAGGTATAAGCAAAATTATTGTGAAAATTGTTATCTATAAAAATTTTATTTATTAAGGACGACTGCAATGCTTCCGATTCAACAATTAGAGAAACCGAATCTCCCGCTTCGACAATTACTATTTACAGCGACGATCCTAGTGGAATTGAAGGGGCGACTACACCAAATATCCATAACACAACGGCAACAGAAGTCTCCCAAGACATACAATTTGAATTTATTGATTTTAATGTAGCGAATATTATCACACCACAATTAAGTTTTCCTGATTTTGATCTTCGGACTCTACTGCAAACTACTCCAATGGGAAGTAGTATATTGAAATACTATCAGCAGCACAATATTTTGGACCACACGCGTCGTACAAGGCTTGTGGACATAATTATTAAACATATGTACAGTTACATCATAAAAAAGTAAGTCATTGGTTATTTGCTTGAGAAAGTTTATCGGTGATGTCAATTTCAGCCGTATGAAACACGAAGAGTACAATCAAGTAGCTGCTAAAATTATTAGTTTGTTTCCTCGAGAATGTTTAGGAACTTACTATGTTCCACCAATAAGGAAATCAGAATCCATTATAGGAAAATCAGTTTTGGCAAGGGGAAAATTGGTGGATAAGGTTCGTAATTTGATTCATAAGTGCGAAGAAGCGAATCCCAAAAGAAAAAGAAGATCGAAAGAGTCAAACGACAGCACAGATGAAATACTTGAGAAGAGGGGACGAGTTAACAATGATGATATGACATGGCTAAAGGTGAACAGTGAACCATGGGCGGAGGTAATGGAAAAATGGAACAATACATACGATCTAAGACGTTGTGACAAAGATTGTCCTACCGTACAGGAATATTTAGAAAGATGGCCCATTTTAAGAGACCTAAGAAGTGATGTGTTGGTATGTATTTATGTTAATAGCTTTTTGAAATCTTTGTTATTGGGTTACATGAATACTATATTTATAAGGCAATGTTTTTGCAGATTAATCAAGATTTTCGAAAGTTGTTCCCAGAGAAGGAACTGAAACTTTATACAAAGTGGGAATCATTTTTTGAAGTGGTCGCGAACTTAAAGTTAAATTGCCTAAAAGATTCCGTGGCTTTGCAACTGCACGAATCTGTCCCGCAAACTGAAAACGAAGGTATGTATTTGATCGAGTCATAGGTTCACAATTTTTACTTTCTTTAAAAGTACCTATTAGAGTAGTATTTCAAAGATTTAGCAAATGTAACACTGGCAAATTACTTGATGCTAACCCAATATTGCAACAATGTTAATTAATATTTTCGTAGATGCTAAATTTCTGAAGCAATTGACGCTTCTGCCGTATTTTCTCCCACCAAAGGGAAGGATTATTACCCAAAAGGCGATAAATAAACATTGGAAGTTTTCAACGTTAGAAACTCTTCACGCCATCGTTGTCACGGCAAAGGTATATATCACTGGCACCTTATTTAAATATACTTTCTTTTCACATTGTATGATCGTTTGACGTTTAGATTTAGGTCATTAAAGGAAATTAAACAAGCAAAGGGATAAAATTTATGAGATCTATTAATTAGCAGAACAAAACTTTTTTGATAGTTTCACACTTACAGAGTAGGGACTTAAACTTTTTCCCACGGGCAGGCGGCGGGCGGAAAAAATAACAACATAAGAGGGTTTATGGGTCGTCTACTTTGTAGAATAACAATATTCTAGCTAAAATTTCCAAGATTAGAGTTGTGTCAACCGATGGGAAGTATGTCTCAAAATTATGAATATTATTATTCTGCAAATACACGGGATTGTAAAACCTAGTTTTCACATCTAACTTATCTGTCTTTTCCCTTTTACGTAGCCTACTATTTTATAACGTTTTATTTTAGGTTGCAGGTGACATAGAACCGGTTATCTCTCAACAAGTTCATAATGCCCAAGCAAGAGGTCAAAGAGTACAGCCGTACCTCCTAGTCGAAGGGACTGCAGAGGATCCCAAAAGGTTTTATGTAGTAATAGACGGTAGGGTGCACCTATCTTGTGAGAGTGCGAAACGATCTTTCGACCTACTGTTCAAAATTTTCCATGTGATTAACGCCAACTACCCCATTCAGGCGGAGTACATATACACATTGCTGCAAAAATGTGTCTATGAAATTAATTTACCATCCGACAAAATTCCACCTTATGTTTCTGATATTTTATCGAATTTCAAGTAAGTTATAATTTACAATGAAGTGCGTGCAATGTGGTAGGAATTGTAGTTCTTTAAAAAAATATTGCTTTCATTTAGAATATTCACATGGTATTGTCAATCATTATCTATGTCCTATTAATAGTTGTAATAGACTATACCACCGGAAACAAGATTTTCAAAAACATTACTCCTTGAAACATACAAATGTAACTGAAATCTCTAGCTTTCCAGCTTTCCAGTCCTGCGGTTCATCCGATATACCACCAAATACTACAATACCGCCTCATACTAAAGGAAATGATGATGATTGTAGTACGGACTATCCGGAATATTCGGATGCTATTCATTCAAGTACAATTGAAGAGAATTTTAAACAATTTACAGAAATTTTTGATCAAAATTTAAAGAAATTTGTTTCAGAATTGTATAGTTGCTCATTATTACCAAGAAATAGTATACAAATTATTTTAAATTCGGTTCGTTGCTTTTTATCCTCAGGTTTAATTAATTTATTGAAGCAAACCTTTGAGACATTTTGTAAGGAACACCTACCTACTTCCGTTTTTCATAACATTATCAATATGATTGAAATATTGCTTAATCCATTTTCGGCTCTAGATTCTGAATATAAAAGATTAAAATACTTTGAAAATTCAAATTATATTGTTAAACCTGTAGAGCACAAATTGGGAGTTGTATCTGAACCAAAACGTGTTGATAGTGAAACCCATTTGATTTTGAAAAACAGAATGACCTATCGCATACCTTTGTCAAAAACGCTGAAGTTGTTTTTAGAACTTCCTGATGTATACAAAGCTATAAGATGTTATCAGACAACATTATTAGAAATGTATACACCAGGCGGTGTCATGTCCAATTTGGTTCATGGATCAATTTATCAAAATATTGTTAAACAGTCTCCCAATAAAGTAATTTTGCCCCTTGTTTTCTATTTCGATGATTTTGAATCGGGAAATCCATTAGGAAGTAAAGCAGGGTGTTACAAGATTGGTGCTGTATACTATACAATAGCTACAATACCGCCAACGTTTCTAGTAAAACTAGAAAACATATTTTTAGCTCAAATTTTTTATAGTGACGATCGAAGCTATTTTGGTAATGATTTAACGTTTCGGGATCTTATAAAAGAATTAAATATCTTAGAAAAAAATGGTATTTCTATACAGATATCTGGAGGGAAATTTGAAACAGTATTTTTTTCGGTCGTTGCCATCACTGGTGACAATTTAGGTTTGCATTCTATATTTGGGTATGTTGAAAGTTTTTCAGCCCGGTATTTCTGTAGGTTTTGCACGGTCTCAAAAAGGCATTCTGAAGGCCAAACTACAGAAAATAATGATTATGTTAGAGAAAAAAACGATTATGAAAATCATCTACAAAATAGAATAGGAATAAAAGAAGTATGTGTATGGCATCAACTTTCAAATTTTCATGTATATGACAATTTAGTAGTGGATATAATGCATGACCTTTATGAAGGTATCCATAGGTATGACATGTCTTTAATTATTAAAAATCTAATTAATCAGAAATATTTCACACTCGAAAAATTAAACTCAAGAATACAGTACTTTTGCTATGACAAATTTGAAAAGAACACGCCACCCAAGGTTTCTAAAGATCATTTAACCAATGGAGTTATAATATTTTCGGCATCTGAGATGTTGACTTTCGTAAGGAATTTCAGGTTTATCGTGGGCGATCTTATTCCGCCGAATGATCCGTCATGGATTTTTTACTTAAAACTTTTAAACTTAACTGAAATTGTTTCTAAGCCCGTCACAACACCTCGCACATTAGAATTACTTAAAACTTTAATCAATGAACACCATTCAATGTACTTATCCTTATTTGATTGTACCTTAAAGCCCAAGCATCATTTTCTATTACACTATGTAAAAGTTATAGAAAAAATTGGTCCGATCAGTTTAATTTCATGTATGAGATTCGAAGCTAAGCATCAAGATTTAAAAAGCACTGCTCACTACATAAGATGTAGAAAAAATCTGCCGTATTCATTAGCATTGAGAATGCAACTTAAATATTCTTACAGATTCATGGCTCAGAAGGGATTTTGTAATTATATAAATTACGGACCCGTTAATGCTTTTATTAATCTTCCTTCAATCACTTCTGATATTTCAGTAGACGATTATTTCTGTACATCGTGGTATGAAATAAATGGAGTCAAATATGATAAAGGCTCATTTTTATTATTTGAAATTTCAAATGACATACCAAGATATTGTAAAATAAAGAATATTTTAATTAGTAAACAATATGAAACTCTTTTATTTGTGGTTCAAAGATATTCCACAGATAGGTATTGTGAACATTTTGAAGCGTATGAAGTATCTCCGCAAGACACTTACTTTACTGTGAAAATTTCGGCCTTACAATCACAGTTACCTACCAAGTTGCACACATTGGCTAATGGTAAATGTTATGTAGATTTTTTAACGATGTAGTATAGTTTTAAGTTTAAACAAACATATGTGTTAGTTATAGCACTTTTAAATATAAGAAATTCCGTAAGCAGTTTTTCAAATTATATTTTAGTTTTTTACCCATATACCTATATACTTCTGTATTAATTTTCGTTAAGATCTGTGTAGTTACACTGTTATTTTAAGCAATGTACGTCTATATCGAATGTCTTTTTGTATAATATATATTAATATCATACATACCTAAATAATACTATATTCGAATAACCGCGTTCTTTATTTCAAAACCTGTCCTGTGACATTTACTTGAAACAAAGCAAAGATATACTTACGTTGAGTATATCGTTTATGGACTCCAATTAAACACTACATTTCTATTAATGTACTACCATATTTCGATGAAACAACGGTATTATCGATTTGATTCCGCTTATTATTCCAATAAAGCACACAGTGATATCTGATTGAATATTTCATTGCGTTCTTTTGAACATAGCTACATTTTGAACTAAGGAACATGTTTGTCTTGTTATAATTAAATTGCAGCTTTCATTTTACAATTCACGTAGAGTTATGTCAAGTAGTAGCAACATTTCTGTTAATTGTTTGAATTGTTTAAACTGTAAACAATTCATATTTTCAAATAAAATCTTCCATTTGTTTGCGCATATAGGAACTTACCATATATTTCTTTTAAAGTGTATACGTTTGAAGTAAACATTTACTTTTATGC